TTTTTTTTTTTTTTTTTTGAATCAGCAAAATTGAACTTTTTTTTTTTCCCATTTTATAAAAAAACTGGAAATCTCACTTTGAAATTCTTTTAGATATCAATTATCATTTTTTCAAAACTTATTTTTTAAGAAAATCAGAAATTATAATGTTTATTTAAAATATTTTGAACCAAGCTTAACTTAGCTTTTGCGCCAAAAAGATGTAATTTGAAAATAAAACAAAGCAGGTCATAAACTTTCATATCACTTGACAGCTGATGAATGACATATTGACAGATTCCGTGAGGCTAATTTGTTTTATGGAAGGAGAAAAGTGAACAAATTATTTACCTCGTTATTTTTAAGGAAAACTTTCAGCACTCTAATTTGTTTTTTTTTGTTTTGTTATGTTTTGTTTTTTTTTTGTGCTTAGCTTTCACCTTTACGTTTACGATGTTTTATGGAAAATATGTTCTAAAGAAATTAAAATAAGACTGTTAAGAGTGACATTAAATTTCATAAGAAAGGTATCTAATTAATTTATAGGTACCTTTCTTATGAAATTTTATCAGAAGTGTACATAAAATACTATAATTTTATTTACATTTATTACATTTTACTGTGTTATTTGTATTTCCATTCATTTTATTATTAATTTTGATATTTCATTTATGGAAAAATGTCATAACTGAGATTAATATAAAAATAAGATCATATAAATTTCATAAGATGATACTGATACTTGTAGGTACCCTTCTCAGTTGAAATTGAAAAATCAAATTAACTTCTCCATACATGTTTCACAAAAGTAAAGGCCTTAACAGGGGAGAACAATTCTTAACTCAAATAACGCAACTTAATTGTATTGTGGTTGGTCTTCCGTACTTTATAATTACAATTCTAAACACAAAATCACATTTTTTAATTACTGCGGATCTTCTGATTAGTTAAAATGATACAATTTACAACACTATAAAAAAAAAAAAGATCTATCTCATAAGGAGACTTAGGAAACCCAATGCGGCTTTTAACTAATTTTATATTTTAACAACTTAAATGTAAAAATCTATTACAATTAAGAAATAACAAATAACTGTTTTAAAAATTCATTTTTCATTGAAAAAATTTTTTGCTTTCAGAAAATATTGTCCATATTCATAAAAACAAATAAAAGCATTTGAAATTAAATAATATCTTTGTTTTATTGAGTTTTGTATGTTACAATTCAGAGCTGATTTTCAGGTAGGGGGGTCCAATTAAAAACAAAAAAAAAAAAAGTACATTATTTGGACTATCGTCCTCATCTTTGTCGCCATATTTATCACGTTTCAGCTGGTTGGAATGTCAAAGCGAACCCTTTATTTCACTGTTCTAGTTCCACATGCCATGTTTGATGGATGTCAGTTATCTCCTGTTAATTTCCCTCTGAAAGTTCTCCACTGCCTTAACCGGGTATTGAACTCACACTCTTTGGGTCCTGTCAACGCCTTTATCCACTGTGTCCTTGAGGACATCTGGGTATGAATTTCTGGGTATTATAAACCTAATGTCTTCAGCAACCATTTTTACCAGTGCTCATATTGCAACTTTGCTGTTATCATTGCATGTTTTTACCAGAGTTCATATTGCAACTATGTTGTTATCATTGCTTTTCTCTGGCACTCCTTATTACTGGTTCCCATATTGTATTTATTTCTATGCTTGGTCGGCTCAGGAGATTTTTGTGGCCTAGCATATGTGCTGATTCCTTAAGTTTACGAATTTTCCAATGGTGTTCCTTGTCAATGATCTCAACCTGATCCCACAGAGGGCGGTGATGTCCCTTTTCTCTCCATATGTGGTCAGCCACGCCTGATTTGCATTCCTCAAAGCCTTGTGCTTTTAACGATTGTACTATTGTAATAACTAAACCCGATGCGATCGAATTTCTAGCATTTTCATAAAATTAGTTAGGGGGGGTAATAAATATTTTAAAAAATATTTCTGCCATGACTTTAATAAAAAAAAACATATTTATAATAATTTCGATCATCTGTGAATAGTTTCTGAAAGTTTCATTAACATCCGACAATTATTTATATTTTTTGCAAGATTTTCCAAATTAATGTGTGTCATACCAAAAAATTTGCTAAAAATTGTCTGTTATTTACTAGTTCCGCTGATACAAAGAGAAACAAGGTTTTTTAATCAAAATTTAGAATGTTCTAAAAAGAAGGAAAAATTTTAAAAATAATTAAAAAAAACTTTGGTCTTTCCTCTTAATAATAACATAAGCATTTAGATGATAAAATTTTGTTTTCGGCAAGGTTGGCATCTTTTTCATCAAGCTATGCTTTTTTTAGTGATTTCGTGGAGGTACCTAATTAAAAGTATTGATAACTTGTTTTGAGTGTCAGATTTCATTGTATAAAATATAAAACTTATTTATAAATCCAAAAGGTAATCCACAAAATCATATTTAATTACCACAATACATCAGAATCTTTCTTTTTTTTTTTTTTTTTTTGTTAATTTATACATTAACATGGATTTTTTTTTTTTTTAGTCAATAACATTCATCAGAATTTCATGCATTGATTTTGTTAAATTTTTTACTGATTTGTCTTTAACATTACTTGCAGCAGTTTCTGTTGCTTCGATATTGTTCACATTTCTTTTTAATGATGAACCACATGTTTTCTGGAGAGGTGTCATTGTTATTTGGCAAAGTGGGCAAAAGTCAGCTTTACAGAATGGGAATTAACTTTCTCTTGATGAAATATACTTTTTAGCTTATAGCTTCTTTTTTGTGACTTGTACTGCTTAAAAACACAAACTAACAATGATTGTCTACAATACTATCTCTTACTCTATCTCTCCACTATTGTTTTCTGAGTCTTGTTGCCTATTTTTATGAGGGACCCAACATCTAGACTGATTTTCAGATCTATTCAATGCAACTCTACAATCATCATTCAAAATTACTGTTGAGAAATCAGTTCTCATATACTTTGTCCAAGTTAGACATTTCTCTGATGTTTATTAAAAGGTGGTAGTTTTGTTTCCATATTTTTAATATTTTACATTTGCAACACCAATTAATTAAAATATTTTCTTGTAGCTCAAATCCACTTTTCTGCTTTTCTGTCACAAAAAGAGAGATGAGAAAAATTTACAAAGAGCAATACCTTTTTAAATTTTTCTCATCTCTCTTTTTCAATTTTCTTTTATTGTTCTGTGATCTGTTTTGTTCTGGGTTTTTTTTTCAATTCCAAACATTGTGTCTTTATCAATCAATAACTTGACAATCTTGTTTGTTTTGAAAGTTTGTCATGAGTCATAAAAGAAAGTGTGCATATTCATATTGGGTTGTCCAGAAAGTTCATGCAGATTTTTAGGGAAATTAAAACACTAAACAAATTTATGCTATTAAATTTTTTGCACATTTTGTTGCACAATCTTTCTCCATATTTTTTTTTTCTTCAATTTAGATTCCATCCTCCCAGAACTTTGGTAGTTTCTTGGCAAAAAAATCATAAAGGTGTTCTTTTTTTTTTTTTTTTTTTAGTCCTCCAAAGAATTAAAATTTTTATCATTCACATTATTTTGCAAGGACCTGAATAAATGAAAATCTGAAGGTGCAATGTCTTGTGAATATGGTAGGTGGGGTAATACATACCAGCCAATCTGCAACAATTTTTGCCAGGTCATTAAGAAAAATGTGAGGTCTGGCACTATCCTAATGGAAAACAACACCTTTCCTGTTCATCAGTTCTGGGTGTTTTTCTTTAATTGCAGCCTTTCATTTATCCAACTGCAAGCAATAATTTTCAGAATCAATTGACTTAGCAGAAGCTCATAGTACAGGATTCTTTTCTAATCCCAGTAGATGCACAGCATGACTTTCTTAGGATGAAGACCTGCTTTTGAAGTGGCTAAAAGTTGGCTTATGTCACTAACCCTAGGATATTTTTGCTGGGCATTGTTGTAAACGATCTATTTCTCCTCATCCATCACAATTTGCTTAAAAAGGGTGCATTTACATTGCATTTATACAGAAAATCACAGATGGAATGCAATCCAAAAGATTCTTTTTCACTCATATAATATGGTACCCAAACATTAGCGATTTGAGTACCCAAGCTTCACTAATTGCTCATGGATGTTGAATTTTGATAAATTAAGTTTTTTAGCCAATTCCAGTGTTGTGCAATGTGGGTTATTCTCAATCAATGTCTTGAATTGGTTGTCATCTGTAGTGGTGGTGGTGGTGGTGGGGGGGGTCTGCCTGAGCATTCTTCATTAATAAGGCTACAATCACCAACTTTAAACTTAGTGAATCACTTCTGTACAGTTCTGTCAGATAAAGCAACTTCACCATACACGGCACATGTATTTTATGTTGCTAATGAGGCATTTTTGCCTTTTACAATGTAAAAAAAAAAATCTCTCGTGTCTAAAATGTACCTTATCTTCCAGTTTCATAGAGATGAGAAATTGATACAAATTAAATAAATTTTAAACTCTTTCTTTCTCAAGAGATAGTTTGAAGTGTACTCTAATCAGAAACATTATATTAGATCTGTTGATAAATTTCACATATATATCCCTTGAGTTTCATAATAAAATCTCACCTCACTGGGTAAGTTATTGTAAATAATAATAAAAACAGATAAGCTGAAATTTTCTATATATTTGTCAATATAAGTATATCTTGAAAACTTTACCAACATCAGTTTTTTAATAAATTCATTGAGAAAACCATGTAGTCTTCGATCAATAGACAAATTCTTCACTATTCAAGGACCTTAGGTACTATTCAAAGATCAAAATTATATACAAGCTTTTGTGAGATATTCATTTTTCTTGGTAAAGACAAATTAACTTTTTTTTTTTTTTTTTTTTGTTCAGTCATATTTTTTCACTTTTGTTTTAGCAAAAGTATTTTCAAGATTCCTGTTAATAGTAAAAATGTAATTTCTTAAAATAGTTGATTTGAGGTTGTGGATTGTATTAAAATGTCTACAAATCCTGTCTTTCAGTGTGTGATCCAGTGATGGGAGACAATGGAAAAATGGTAAGTGTCTAGTGTTCAGCAATAACATTGATATTTTATCACTATTTTGCACTTATAAACAACTTCAGCTGTTTGTGTATATTATTATTGTGATATTAATTTTTTTTTGTTTGTTTTCAGTATGTGCCTGAAGAACTGTTACCTGTTTACAGAGACATATTGTTGCCTTTAGCTAATATTACAGTGCCAAACCAATTTGAAGCAGAGTAAGTGTGTTAATCACAACTTTGACTGTACATATTACACTAATTACAAAAGGAAAAAAGAAACTATAAGTATTTTATAGTTTTAAAATGTGTCATTAAAGAAAATTATAAGGATTTAAACTAATATCCATCGATAAAACAGTCTGATTTAAAATGGGTTCATTTTGCTGTGTTCATTCACTTGATTATCAATACAAACTAACCAAACGGTTTTTCATGAAATAAATGTAGTATATCTTTTTGATTTGCATGCACCTCTAATGGTCACCCACTGATTATTAAAAGAATTCTTTTGAGTTGAATTTCTCTGGTATTTCTTCCACTAAATTTTTCAACTTATAGATTTTGTTTTTTAATTTTTTTTTTTTTTTTTTGGAATTGCTGAAATAGACATAAGATAAAAAATCATCACATAAAAATTGTATCTTTTTATAGAGACAAATGATAAAATAATTTTATCAAAATTGCCTAGAAAATAAATTAGATAAGCAGTTAAAAATGAAGGAAATTTTACTATATTGACAAGTTTTTACAGTGTAAACTAAGGCAGTTTGTGATACATACTATAAAGGCCAACTGGTTGCAGTCATTCCAACCATCTCACCTTTATTCTTTATTTCTGACCCCAAATATACTTTAATCTTTGTGTGCATTATTAGTATTGGTTGTAATATTACAATTTCTTACATGAAGCATTGTCAATTATTTTTTATGAGTCTTTCTTTCATTTTCATTTCCAGTTTGGGATGTAAAATATCTTGTATGGGGTTATTTGAATTTGCCATTGGATGACAACAAATTTTTTGTATTTAGATTTTTGAATTTTTTATTTTATTTTATTTTTCTTTTAAATGAAAATGATTAATAAAATTGAAAAAACTGAAAGTTTTTTTTTTTTTTTTTTTTTTTTGTTATGTTTATGATGCCAAATGCCTTTCTCTTACACAAATATTTTTTTTTCTTCAGACTTCTAACAGGCATAAAGATTAATGATATAAATGATACAATAAAAGCCATTGATATGATGCATAATTGGGGGATTAAGACTGTGGTGATGTCCAGCAGTACATTAGGGAAAGGTACAAATACATTGGTTTGTGTTGGCAGCAGATGTACAGGTGAATTATTTATTTTTCTTTGCTCTAAATCTACTCATTTCTGCTGTCAATTTTTTTCTTAAAATTGTGGATTTGAAAAGATTCTATAAGCTTTCACACTTTTTCATTTGACTAAAAAATTTACAAATTATAAAATTTTTCTTAGAAAATATACTTTTTGTTTATCATCATAGAAATTCAAATCCATTTTTGGAATTGAAAATATTAAAGATTTTCTCTTCTACTTTCTCATTTATCTTTAAATATTCAGCATCTATTTTGGTCACTGGTAGAAAAGTCTTGAAAAACAAAACCTTTTGTCAGACGTCTAGTTTTTTGCTGTAAATATTTTTTCTTAAAATTACTACATTGCTTCTCAAAACATAAAATTTTAATTTTATAATCAGAGCTTATTTTTCTGTTTTGTAATTAACTATCAATTCCAGTTTTGCTTTTGAATTTATATTTTCTGGAAAAAATTTACTAAAGGAAACTGCTATTTTAAACAGCAGACTTCAAGTAGCTGTCTTTATTTTTCTTTTTTACTATATTAGTGTGCAGAGATAAACATTTTTTTTATAATTAGTACTCATAGGCTTGAGTATAAAGTAATATAAAATACTGTTACTATTTACCAGATTAAATTGATCGAAGGAACTAAACCATTCATTAAAACTTGACATTTGTTTCTAGAAGTTCATTGTTTCCTGAAATAATTTTTTGTTAACAGAAAATGGAATGGAACGTTACAAGATTGAATTTCCATACATCAATGCAACATTTGTGGGAACAGGAGATTTATTCTCTGCTCTGATGCTTATTTGGTTACACAAAGACAAAAATTTAAAAGTAAGAATGTTTTTATAGAAATTGACTATACTGCTGTTAATTCCATTTTGGAAAACAACATTTTTTAACTAAAGCTTTTCAGGCTACAGTTTAATTGTTCCCCTATAATTTAGTTTCTGCTATTAGAAATAGTGAATTATTTCATTTCCAGAGACTTAAATACAGGTTTTTTAGCAAATGAATGAAAGTAAATATATATTATAAAATTGGTCTACAAATTTTCAAATCCTTTGTCAAGTTGTTTTTACTGACCATCAATTTTTAATTGCATTCATCATAAACACTAAAAGCTTTCCAATATTTAATAAGGACT